ATTCATGGATTGATTTATTCGTTTTTTTATCAATCCACGCCAGCTCTCAATGTTCTGGTTCACGGTGTTGTCACGGTTATATACCCCTCTCTCCTCCTCTATCATCAGCACCATTTATCCGTAAATACCGCTCCAAGTCTCTGATCACGATTTTTTCAGCAGCTATATCGAATGAGTCTGCTGAACAGTGCCGGTCCACCATTAGTCAATACGGGTAAATGTTCGTGTTTTCTTATCGAGGACACCAGACGTATAAGTAGTTTGCGTATCTGCAATGACCACCGCTAATAGTGCGTATGCTTCCGCATGACCTTCCTGCCATCCAACCAACCATACAACTGCTGCATCCCCGAGGAGTACCCGATCATATCGCCCTTTTTGTATATACTATTTGAACTTCAGTTTTTTGCGGGGGAGGGGGGCATCTAACACATCAATGCTTGAAATAAGCGGTTTCCCATCGCAGTATGTGACGTCACTTGTGTATTTTGGCCCTGAAATGATACCACTGAATATTAAAAATAACATCTGAGCAGACCCTGCCCGCTGCTACTGAGAGCGTGTTTAGCTCTCCCTTGGTTTCTTTTTTTTTTTTTTTTGCTCTGGCGACAGGCGCTCACTCTGTGTGTGCGAACAAGAAACTAATCAAATCATGTTTTGTCCTCTACTGTAGTCCCGGACGCCAATACTAGCAGAGGGGGACAAACAATTTGATCAGTTTCTTCTTCGGTAGTTCCTGTGTACTGCTGTTGATATAGCACCTCCGTAGTGGCGTACTGCTGCAACTGCAGTTAAATTACATAGCGGCCCGCAGAGATCAATCGGTCAATCAGCACGGCTGTGTTCAGGGATATCAATCGGTCTGGCTGGGGGCTGCCCAAAATTAGCTGGCCACGCAATTTTGAACGCAGGAAAAACCCTGCAATGGATGATCTTTAAATCCAGAAAGAAGTTTTATCATGATCAAATGCAATGAGGGGGCAGGACTGCATATCCAGCTTTCAAGGGTCTGCCAATGGCGAGCCCTTTCAAGAGGAAGGGCCCATTGAATCAGATGTCTAAAGCCAAAAGCATAGTGATAAAACAGTAAATTCGGAACACACAGTCCACCCTTATCAGTTAGTTTCTGGAAGGATTGCAGCTTCGCCCTGAGGCGCTTACCGTTCCGTATAACATCACATCACAAAATCCGTTGAAGTGATGGAAATACCCAAGCGGAATTCTCACACGAATGAATGGTTGAACCTTGGGGTACAGATCATTTCAATAACATTAACCCTGCCTCATAAAAACCATCGTTCAATATCATTTTAAAGCCCAAAAGGGGTTCTACATGAATCCAAAGCAAATCAGAAAGAGGATGAGGAAACAAAATCCCAAGACATCTTATTCCTGACTGTAACCAACTGAAAATCATGCACCATGTCAAAACAGTGCCTCGAGGCATTGAAGTGTCAGCGAGAGGGCCTCTGATTTATTCCAATTTACCTGCATCCTGGCAGTCAAGAAATCCAGTTAAATATTCGTAAAAAGTGCAGGTACAGATTGTTGCGGCTGCGTAACTAGCACCAGGGCATCATCAGCATAGGGGATCAGATTCATCACGAATAGAGGCCACTATTGGTTCTAAGACTAAGGTGAAAAGCAAGGGACTTCAAGGATGGCCCTGACACGTGCCTCTAAAAAGCACGAATGACAGAATATACAAATTGATCGGTTGGTAGTGTCACGTGGGGTGCTGAAGCAGAGATGACGCAAAAACGTGCTCCAGCGCATTGTTGTCCAGTGAAGGCAGCTGAAAACAGACATACACGGCTGTTTCGCTCGTGTATATTCCCCCACAAAGCAGGGAGAATCAGAGGGAGGAAAAATGATTCAATCCAGAACAATTGTGTTTGTAGGTTTCTGAATAAATATTAATTAGAAAAGGTCTCAAAGTTTCTGTCTTTCTTTCTGTTCTTTTTCTCTGTATCCCTCACACATTTCTGTATTTCATCATATTTAATGTTTCCAGTTGGTTTTCTGTATGGATAGTAAAGTTGCAATAAGGCAATTTTTTTTTATATTCACATGGCTACTGTTCACTAAGAGTGTATTCTATATGCATGTTTGTTCATACGTATATACTGTTCCGTACCATTAAAAAAAATAATAATATAAAAGGTTTTAAAAATTATTTTGAAAGTCTCTAGCATGAAACTCCAGAGGGTCTTCGCTTAGTCTGTAAACCTTTCCTGTGACCTGTTGCTTTGAATGTTGCTGCTGGAAAGGATTGTGGCCAATTTATCTCCCGTCTTTTCATGAAGGTTGATAGGAGAAACATGTCCTGAAGGCAGCTTAAACATTGCTTCGGGGCCCCTTGACAAGGTCTTTTTTTTTTTTAATTCAATGCCCTCTGCTTTCTGTATTTGAATGTGTCAGACGCTGCTGTCATCTCGGTTCTGCAAATCATTGACTTGCCATCTACATCCTCCACCACCGTTTTGTCCTCCCACTCATTTCTCCAAGCACAGATTCACAAAAAGGATACAATCCTTGCTTGAAATATAAAAGTGTTTACAGCGGTGCCATGTGGTCTGCTTTCAATGTGGGATTTCAGTGGTCTCGCCGGCTATTTGTACAGAGACAGATTTGGTTTTTGTAAGCGCAGCATATACATCCTTGGACAAATTATATTTCCAAGGCCACACATGGAAGCTGAAATCAGTTTGGACAAATATATAACATCATTCATTAGAATCCATCTAAGTTTTAAAGGCCCTGCCTGCTTGCCACCGGTTACAGGTCTGTCGCATGCTCTTTACATTACTGTCAATTTTCATGCAACAGTTAGCTGAGGGTGTTTTATCAGTGAACCAGACAGGCGCACAAACATTTGAGGGAATGTGCAGTGAAAGGCACTGGAGAGTGTATGATGAATATAAATTAAGAGGAGAACGCACACACAAACATGCGATTTTGGTGTGGTCATGTTGATTAGTCATTCACTGCAATTTATTTTACTATTCCCTACCAGCCCCCCTACCAAGAGAGGCAGTGCGCAAATGAAATTGCCTGGATTCCAATCAGTGATTATTGTTTTTGAACATAACTCCTTATTCATAAAGTCTTACATGGAGACATTTCTGGAATGGCTGTGTCATATGAAATGTCGTCATATATTTAAGAACTAAAAATAATTGAGTCTGCGAAATGTTGGCATTATGCCGAAATTGTATAAATTATACGGATTCAACTCCATGATTGAAGCTTTTCATGAAATAAAGCCCATTTTATGAAATACATTTCCCACTTGCTATTTGGAAATGAGTCACCCGAGAGATGACACAGATAGTCATTGGGGAGCTCAAAGTGGGATCTTTGGCTTTTTTTTTTTTTTTGTGGTCTTTGAATAAATGCACCTTTCTGTGCAGTCGGTGGATGACTAACCACATTATTGAGTTGGACGTATTAGGAGCAGCACAGCTTCACAATAGGTAGACGAGATAAGGGTTTACTATCGACTCAATCTAGCATTGGATGCAGTAAGGTCTTTAGAAAGGAAAAAACAACCCCATTACAGGTACATTTACAAAGCAAGAAAAAAAAAGGACGTGAGGTGAACACAAGCAGCCAAGCGCAATTCACGTAAAAAGCCCGTGGAATGTGGGAGGAAACCGCAGTGCCCGGAGAAAATCCACACAAGAATGCAGAAGCTGAGATACAAGGCCCAAAACTCAGAACTAGGAAGATGTGAGAACCGCTTCCCATATTTCTGCACCATTAATGATTATTCCAATGTGTCTCTGATGTAGAAGAGAGTTTGCATCTTTTTTACTACACACCAATCTAATGTGCGGAATTACAGATGCGAGGTAATAATAATGCATGTAAGGTTGTCGGGGCCAGTGGCGTGTTGTGACGTTCACGGCTGGTGATGTATTCGAGTAGGATTTAAACATTTATGAGCAAAACAGCATGATGTATTTTCCATTAAATTAGCATCATCACATAAAAAAATGGTAAACAAAAATAATCTGACATCAGTATTCTTTTCACATACCTATTTGGCCATTTAGAGAGAACCTATAAGCCAAGGCAAATTCTTACTAATAGTCATTCTATAAATATTCGGGGGGAGACTTGATTAAAAAAAATAATGTAATTCGCTACAGGCTTTGTAATGAATTAATCTCGATTAATCACATTTTAACCATGCACCATTATTTGTCCTAAAAAAAAAAAGCAAACATTTTTCATTTCACAGGATTTTATTGGAAATGTCCCTGGCTAAAACAGAACAGACCCAACAGTGAAAGTGGCCTTGAAATATATTTATGTCTAAGACCACGATTATTCTTAAATGGTTTCTGCTTGGCACTTAAAAAGTTGGATCACATCACTATCTGTCGTACATTTTCGAACCCTTTATCATTTACCACTGATTGTGGTCTAGCCAGAGCACTCAGCACAACGTGCAGGAATCCTTGTCGTTTTGGTTGCCATGACTTTTCCACGCGTCCCTAATCACAGCACGTGCTGACATCAGAGAAAAGCGATGCATGCATTCCAAATATATACTGCACAGTAGCAGCCGCCTGTGGTTTATGGTCTGTGCTTTGATTAATACATTGGAAATCCTGCAAGTTGAGGGAGCATCTGTTGAAAAATTTGCCCTTGCGGAGCAAAGATGTTGAACCTGGTGTTTGATTTTCTTCCAAAAAGTGCGCCGCTATACCTGGAAAATCATTTTAGTGGATCACTGTCTTAAAATCAAGGGAAGAGGCGTATTTTCCATTTCCATAGCAACCTCATTTAGGAGACCTTACAGGAAACCTGTTACTGTGCAGGGTTGTGTGTCATGTGATATGATGTGAAAAATATCCCTTTCATTGCACCTGCATTTTGATTTGCCATACGCTGCAGGTCACAACTGACCCATCGGATGACACGGATTTTTAAAAGTATATTTATTTATTAGAAACCGCAAATCTGATTTAAAAGCAAATACGTGAACAGCATCATCTGTATTTTCTTTAATTGAAATACTTAATATGAACATATTTTTATAGGCTGTAATGTTACGCACACAATCTCATCGGGCATTTACAAGATATTGAAACACTTGGCTGGTGAAAGGATGCATTCCTGTGGACAATGGATCCTTGCGTCACTCTCTAAATTGGCCTACGCAAGAACGCTGTCATGAAAAGTCTCATTTAAAAAGCCAGTAACTACACAAACATTTGACATTTGACTCTTTTTTAATGGTAAAAAACTAAAACGCGCGCGCGCGCACACACACGATCATACCATGCAGAATTTAATTTATTGTATTGAGCATGGGGTACTTTTGATAGCAAAGGGTCACAACCAAAGGCATGACTCACTTTTAACCTTAAAGTACCGAGCTTTTATCTTTACTGCTTGCCATAGCTTCTAACTCCAATCAGAGTTAATTACTGCATGAATGTTTTTCACTGATCCGATTCGTGATTTCAGTCCAAAATCCCGACGTACCCAGTGCCACTAGTGGAGGCACGGCATTTATAAGATGCACTAAATGGGAGCTCATCAGGAGGCAACATCGAGTGACCTTTCTGGAGGTTAAACTGTTTGCAGCATGGGGGGGAAAAGAAAAAAAAAAAAATACTTTTCACTGGGGCTCCAACTGCCAAATTGCTTTCACATTCACATTTCTAATGCACTCCGGCAGACATGCAAAGGTTGCCACAACAACTAACCAATCGAATGTACAAAGTGAATCTGAAAAAGACTCAGTATTTGAGAAGAAATGGCCTTAATTGCCATTCAGTACAGACTGTCGCTTTCTCTGGTAGGAGTGCAAAACTGCCTGAAGCATGATATAAATTGGGTGTGCTCACTTGCGTCGTTCGCGATCGACCGGTAGCTCGCGAAAGGGTCACCTGTCAATTGCATGGCATTAACTCAATCGCTGCCAGCACTCCTGGTTCTATACTATTGGAATAAGCTGCCTGTCAATGGTAGTAAATGAGTTTTTAAAGAAATCTATCATCCGTTTTGAAATTTGTCACTTGTTTGATATGCTGGGGAAGCCAGTGATACACCTGTTGCATGCCTCACCGTGCATGCGCATACAAGAGCGCTAACTGGCAAAACTAGCAGTTTCCATTTTGTTCCGTCTAAAGCAGGGGTAGGGAACTCGGGTTCCCCTCGAGAGCCATATCCTGCTTGTTTTAGGTCCCTCTCGACTCAAACACACCTGATTCAAATGATCAGCTCACCAGTAAGCTCTGAAGAGCCCTGAAACGATCGTGAACAACTGAATCAGGTATGTTGGAGTAGAGATATGAAATAAAAGGGAAGTTTGTAGTAGTTTGTCCGGTGTGTTGGTTTAATATAATCTGTACGGGAGTGAATGTGCAGCAGAAGGTATCCTAAGTACTCAACTCAACTCAACTGTATTTATAGAGCACTTTCAAACAGTCAAACTCATCATTCTAAATGATGAGTTTAAAATGTGTCACATAAAACATCAGCAGATAATTTGAATAACAGTTAGGCTGTGTTATGGTCTAAAGTTCCAAAAAGTGCAAATTTTGTGTCAATTTTTCACCACTGAGGGAAGACAAATAGTTGCGCATCAAAACATCTTTTATGTAACCTCTTGTGTGTGTGTGTGCAGTTACTGAAGAAAAAAAAGCCTTTCAATGTTGTATACATCAGCAGACAGCCTTCGAGTTCCTCAAGAGGAGAAGTCAGAGTCAAAATAAAACAGGTTGGGAAAAATAGATCAAAAATTTGCGAGGGCATATTCAGTTCAACAAAAAGCCGTGTGACAGCCGCATCTGTCTCATTGGATTACAAAAATTCCCAAGACTGTCATTAATTACCACATATGAATATACAGTGTGACAAGAGGGGCATTACCCAAGTCATTTTTCAAAAAAACTGTTAAATACCTCACTTGTCTTGAAGAAAACATTCATTGGCTGGGAAAAACACTGGCACAGTCTTCTACCATCTCAAACAGGAAGTGGTAGGGGCCGTTCCGTCGAGCCAGCTCACTGGCGCTCTCCCCACTGTTGCTGCGAAGTCCTGCCTTCAGGTGGCGCTGAGAGAGGAGGAGCTCCAAAGTGTGGCGCCAGTCAGTTTTGGACGAACTGCTGTGCGAGGCGGCTAGGTGTAGAGGCGTGAGGCCTCCATTGGTCTGAGCGTTAACGTCAGCGCTATGATGCAGGAGCAAGGTCGCCATGGTGACGTGCCCCCAGCGGCACGCGCTGTGGAGGGGCGTCCAACCGTCGACGGTGCGAGCGTTCACCTTCGAGCCGGCAGCCAGCAAGGCAGCCGCCACGTCCACGTGGTTGCCGTAGGCGGCCCGGTGCAGGGGAGTGTAAGCGTCTTCATCGCTGCTGTGTACCAACGAGGCCTCTGCAGCTAACAATCTGTGGACCAAAGACACCTGCAAGGTAAATCACATTGGTAATCAAAAATGGGTGATTTACTCTCTGGCTGCCCAGTAATTGCTCTCAGGAAGCAGCATTAAAGCATCTGCAAAATAACCGACTTCACATGACTTTTGTACCATGTGACGAGCCATTGTATTGCTCAGCAATTCACTACAAAAATACAATACACCAGCGGTGTCCAAACAGGATGCAGGGACCACTGACATTGTATGTGTGTGTGTGTGTGTGTGTGTGTGTGTGTGTGTGTGTGTGTGTGTGTGTTCTTGAGGAAGCACTCATTTCACACACCAACCAGAAAAGAACAAACATCCTGCCCTCCCCACCATCTGCTATCAGGTGTTGTCATTTCATCTTGCTATATTTGTTGCCCACATTTATTTATTCAGCCTTGACTGTGGTCCGCTCTCCACCGCGGTGATGTCGTCTCTTCCGCACAGTGGTACCTCTACTTACGAAATTAATTGGTTCTGGAAGAATTTTTTTGTAAGTAGAGATGTGCTTTGCATGTAAATACCCTAATCCGTTCCAAGCTTCCCAAAATTCAGACATAAATGTTTTCTAAAGCATAAAAATGCATCAAAATATTAAACAAATACATGTTATAATTAGATTATTCATCCAATCCAATGTTAGGTCACATAGGGCAGCAACTTCAGCACTTTAGGCCAAAATCTCCTCGACCTACCCACTTCCTCCAACTCTGATGGGGGATCACAAAGCATTTCGAGGCAAGCCATACATTGTAATCTGCTTTTTCATTGTACCATTGTAACTCCATGTTGAACTGTCATTGGTTCAGTTCCACGGGATTATCTACCAAAAAATTGCTCCTCAATATTACAAAGTTGCTCCTCAGAGGAAGTCATTGATTAGCAAAACAACTGCTCAAAGATTAAAAAAAAAGTTCTTTCGAGCCTTGAAACTGGAGTATAATTCTTGAAGTGGTGTTGAATTGTGGAGCACATTATCTTGAGAGGTAACTTGATCAGATCGCTGCACTTTAGTGAGGTATAAAAAGGCAAAACCCAAAACCGGCATTGTGTCTTTCAAACACGAGAGTTCCAACAGGTCATGTGTGCACACTTACGCGGTTGTTTTCTGCAGCCCAAAGAATGAGCGCAGCTGGTTTGTCTTTGAGACTCTCTTCTTTTTGAAGGTACCACTCCTCACTATGGACCTCTTCATCATCCATTTCTCCCTCTTCATCTTTACTCCCAGTCCACAGGCAGCTAGCCCCTCGAGGGATCAGGTGGTTGTGTGTATTTAGAAGATCCAGCTGGTTAAAATCGTCCGGAAACTCCATGCTGACGACTCTCTGCGTCCAAGAATTTATGAACAAAGCAATGAGAGAGACACAGTGGCAAACATACCCATCCATCTTTTCTATAGTGCTTGTCCTCATTAGTGTTATGGGAAAGATGGCGCCTATCCCAGTTGACTTTGGGCTAGCAGCACGGCGCCTGCTGGACTGGTTGCCAGTCAATCACAGGGTGCATATCAATGGGGAAAAAAAAAAAACCCTTCACAAGCAATTTACTTGAAGTGCATGTTCCTGCATTGATACCTGTGTTTTACACCATTCAAGCAACCATCATTTTAGTAATATTTGATTGACCGGAAGTGCATGTTCTTGTAAAATGAATTCATCAACTTGCTCATACATACAGTACACATGTCTGAAGATAATTAGTGAAAACATACAAAGACTAAGACCTATGTGGTACTGAAATGTGGAAATACAGCGGTAGAAACCGTTTTGGGCGTGGCTAAAATCCTTCACTACATAAAATAAAAAGAGCTGCTGAATGGCAACATTCTCCCCACCAATGAGTGTAAAGGCCTTCTTCTCAACACTACAATTGGAAGGTGCCCTGTACAAGCTTGCCCATATTTGGAAATGGTTGCAGTGTTCAACCAGAAAATAGCATTGATACTTTTCCCATTGGTTGGTCTATTACTGTTGGCGCTCGGAAATTATTCCGTCAACCGCTCTCTTATTGTATAGACCGATGTAATGTCATAGCGATGCTGGTACCGAGTTGAAAAGTTTTCAAAGAAAGGTGTGCAAGTGGCCCACGAGGACGGGACTTTGACACCTGTGTTTTACACCATGCAAGCAACCATCATTTTAGTAATATTTGATTGACCGCTGGCGGTCACACAGCTTGACAGCACCAACAAAAGCCTAATTTTTCAACCTTTTGATAGCTCATTTAAATCTACTTGCCAATTTATATTAATCACACAAATTAACAATCTTCTCCACTGGCTAGTCAAATTCAGAAAGCATTTATTTATCTTGACAGGGTCTTTAAAGTGTTTCCATTACTGCTGTATAGACAAAACACAGACGCTTTCATCATTCGCTGTACTTGCAGTACAGTCAACGGGCTGCTGTTAAAATCCCCACTCTTATGTACAAGCACGTAAATATGTACATTCTATTTCCACGGACACAGCAAGAAAATGGCCTCCCACTGTCAGCCTCTGTTCGCTTCCGAGTTTCTTCCCGTTTACCACTGCGTCCACGATCATGGTACAGATCATAAACCATGAATAAAAAGCGTGGACCTAAAGCTGCTCCATATGCAAGTCCAATGCTTTTGTGTGTGCATGCGTTCGATTTTAGAAACGCGTGGTTCTTGTGTGGTTATACCTGTCAGGAGTTACACCCTTACGTCAAATGACTGCTGCTGTTTGATGCCGTTCATTTAAAACGTGGACATCGTCGGCAACGTAGTTTAAAATGCACCGCACGCAAGCGTTAGTCATAAAATCAACAATATTTTAAAAAAGGGGCCACGTAGTTTAAAATGTAGAGCACGCAAGCGTCAGTCATAAATCAACATTATCTTTTTAAATGGTGCGCACGTAGTTTAATATGCAGAGCAGGCAAACGTTAAAGCCATAATATACACAATACTTTTTTTAAATGTGGGCAAAAAAATTAGAATTCTTACCTCTGGATTTTTCGGATTCAAACTAAAAACCGACAGGCTGTTTTGTTGATGCGTTGGGGGAAATGTAGTTTTTAACACCCTAATTTGTGTGAGTCTCATGTTTGAAGGACTACACCCATGTCTACTGACGGCTTCTTCCTCTTCTTTCTCTTCTTCCTCGTCTTTTCTACTACTGTTGTTTTTGGTGCTCCATTGAAGTTTAGCGCCGTTATGCGGTTATTATTTGAACTGCGATATCTCAGTGTTTCACCCCCATGTTCATTAATCCAAAATAGACACGAAAACAGCAAAAAGTGACAAAAACTACATTTGCCATTAACTATATATATACACACACACACACACACACACACACACACACACACACCTCTGGACAATTTCTAGTGTTCCATTCATTTGCCATGCATGTTTTTGGAATGTGGGGGGAAAGCAGAGTACTGTATCCAGAAAAAACCCATGCAGACAGGAAGGCCGGAGCCGGAATCGAACGCTGCACCTCAGCGCTGTGAGGCAGACGTGATAACCAGTGGATCACCATGCCGCCTTCTGAATATGGCCTTGCTCGGTGTTGTTAGACAATTAACACTTCGCAATGGAACAGACCAAGAGTAGTTTGAGTTTTGAACTGCTCGGTGATTCAGTTTGACATCCAAGCCCTATTTGGGTCATTTGAAATCCATGTGCTGGCTCACGCTGTTCAGCATTATTCAGTCTGATTTCATTCAGATTCATAAAAGAAGCAGACAATAAGAAACCATTGCAGCAATTTTTAGAGCTCAGAAACCATGGAAATTGTTTGACGTGTGAAAGGGCTGGAAATTCACTTTCTATCACAAAGACAGCATCTAGTACATTTGAGTAAGAGATTGTACTACATAAGGAGTCTCTAGCTGTGCTTTTGCCATGAACAAAGGTAATACGCTAACTCAGAGATGGACAAACTACGGCCCGCAGGCCGGATCCGGCCCGTTGGTCTTTTTAAACCGGCCCGTCGAAGGTTGGTACACAATTAAGGTTCGATGTCAACGATTGCATTCATTTCATTTGGACTTGTAATGACAGGCATTTCAACACCAAGTGGCGCAGTTACTTGAAGTTGCAGAGCACAGGGAGGGAATGGGAGACGATATGGAAGCCCGCAGTAGCGCTAAATCAAGCAAATCCCGTTCGATACGACGGAATAAGTGTGTCCGCGCCGCTATTTTCTATCATTGGTTCCAAAACAGCAACATGCAAGTGACTCTTTATTGCAGTGAATTTTACTGGAATAGCGAACATTTTTACGTCCTGTAGATCGTGGCATCCAAACGAAGAGGAACAGTAATGGCCGTGGAAGAGAAAGTGAAGTGTATCTGATTAAACGAAGCGGGTTACAAAGTACGAAACATTCAGCAGACGCTTGGAGTCTGAAAGACTCAACTCTACGAGACTTTGAAAAACGAGGAAGCGATTCTTGCTCAGTCCGATTCTGGCAATTTCCATGCTCAGAGTGAATTGCTTGCGGCTCGACGGACAGTCGAGTAAATAAACGTTTCCTGGAATGGTTTGACTGTTATCGTGCTAAAAACTTTCCACAAACTGGACCGCTAATAAGAGAGCAATCGAGTTCCATAGCGCTATGAGCATCGAAGACTTCGAAGCGTCCCGTGGCTGGGTTGAAAAGTTCGTTGCACGACATCAGCTGAGCAACGCTGTCTTGTGTGGTGATCGAGGGGAGGTCAAGTTCGAGACAGTGAGTGAGTGGAAAGAAAGCCACCCAGTCTTTTACTCATCACATTTTGTAGCAAATAGTCCTAACTTTGTTAGATTTTGTCATATACCTGTACTGTATGCTGCAGTTTTTGGGCAATATATTGTTGCACTTTGTTGCTTGTGTTGTCACACATGCATGTTGTTAACATACTTGGACGTTCATACAGGACATATACCAGATTTGTTTCACTGTTCTCATAAAAAAAAAAAAAAAAAAAAGTATGGTAATACAGTACTTTCATGCTTTTGTTCTGGTATATGGTATGGACTCTCAACATATACGGGTTTTTATATGTACCGTATCTTGTGCTGACCCGGCCCACCTGTCAAATTTAGAAATCAATGTGGCCCCCGAGCCAAAAAGTTTGCCCACCCCTGCTCTAACTGAAGCAAGTATCACTCTAATGTCCACCACATGCATAATATCTTCTCATTCATCCATGTTTTTACCTTCAATCTAAATCCAAAGAAGAATTTTTACATTTAGTACATCTCACTGTTTCTCAATTTATAAAGTCCTTAAAACTGTGCTCAATCATCACCAACATGTGTGCGGCTATATTTACTTATGCCCACTTCACAAATATCACAATGAGCCTCCTCATGTGCTCACATGATAACATCTTGTCTTCAATTTCTCTTCTTCTGGATCTGTTTTTCTTTAGGAATAATATTAAATGAGATTCATATCTACCTATCAAGTCGCCCAAGGGCACTTAAGCGTCGAAAAACGAAAAAAAGGCTCAGGCCGAAGGAGCAGAATCATGCCACTCACTGTATAGTGCTCGTTGGTCAGCTGAGAAAACCTTTTGGAGTATAAATATAGATGTGTTCATACATTTTCTTAATGATCGGTCATTTTAGGACATTAGGTTACGTTATTGTGTTCTCTCTAGGATCGCATATGGGGACATATCCTCCCGTTTATGCACAAATCAAATATCTCACGCGCAAATCTTGTGCACATTCAAGGTGCAGCAATTCTTCTGTCGAGGCTTCAGACATACCCACATGCGTAATCAGTTAAAAATTGCGCAGTCTCAGAAGATGTGTCACCCATTCATTTCTTCGTCTCCATTGATATGCGCGGCTCATCCAACAGGCGACTTTGAAGGCGCATGCACATTTTCATTCTGTATGCGATAAATACAATAAAAGTAATTGAATCATCGCTTGCTCATTACTGAATGTATAATTGGAGTTGTTCCATGAGTTGAACAGTGAGTGAGCCGGCTGTTGTTTGAACGTTGCCTAGCAACGTGTCTCGCCGGCACACGCTCCACTTCTATGGATTTCACCACCGGCATATGCGATAATACAATCTAATTTAATACAGGAGCTGAATGACAACAAAGATTTTGCTCTGCTAGCTACACCTGTCCCTCGCATATAGCTAAACAAGGTAAGCAAAATGGTGAGGTCATCTCTCAATATGAAGTGCAAAGAACTGTCATTATTAGTGAAGCAAGCCATCATTAGGGTGAAAAATCAAAACAACCCGTCAGAAAGATCATTGACTTTGGTAGACTGTTGCCGGTGAGCTCATGCCCATGCAAGTCATGAGCTCGTGCTCATGCAACTTTGTGGGTGTCCTGGTGCATGGAGTTGGCTCACCCTCAACGCGTTTGACAATTTGATAACAGAAAGTAATCTACGCTTGGCGTAAAAATGTCTGCGTCATTATTTTCATGAAGGGTCAATGGTCTAGTTCAGCGTATTTCTGAGTTTGGTGATAGTGTCTGGTCCCAGTGGACCTTGTGCATCCCATCCTGTGCACTTGGGCCACCTGGCTCCTTATCTTAAGTCACCAGTCTCAAACTTTGGTCTTAAACTGGACAGTGATTTTAAATTGGACCGGCAAATTGGTGCCGTTGTTAAATCCAGCTTCTTTCATCTTAGGCAGCTGGCTAAAGTAAAACCTCTCCTTTCTCATGAGCACTTTGAAACAGTAATTCGGGTCTTTGCCACATCCCGGCTGCATTACTGTAATGCACTTTACTTTGGAGTCAGACAATCCTCCATTAAGCGTCTCCAGTTGGTCCAGAAAGCTGCTGCTCTTCTCTTGACTGATACTCATGAGAGAGAGCACATCACTCCTCCTCTTGCATCCCTTTACTGGCTCCCTATACATTTTATAGTTCTATTTAAGATCCTATTATTTGTTTTCAAATCTTTAAATGGCCTCGCTACCTACACCTTACCTCTCTGAGCTCCTCCGCCCCTCCACATCTGCCTCAGGTCTGCTGATCAGATACTATTAGAGGTACCAAGAACTAAGCGGAGGCTCAGCGGGGATCAAGCCTTTTCCGTTGCTGGTCCATTCCTTTGGAATGACATCCCACTAAACATCCGGCAAACCCCCTCGCTGCCCATCTTTAAAACTCGTCTCAAAACTCATTTGTATTCTTTGGCTTTTGACTCAGCATGATACTTGATCTTAGTTTTACTGTTTTTGTGCTTTCTACTGTCTTTGTTGTTAATTTATTGTTGTATGTATGATATTTGCTCCATGTACAGCACTTTGTATACAACGGTGGTTGTTTTAAAGTGCTCAGTAAATACAATTGAGTTGAGTTGAGAGTTGAGACACGCTACGCCTCACTGGGCGTTCCTGTCCACCCCAGCACATTTGAAAATTTGGTTAGAAAAAGTAGTGTTTTTTTGGGGGGGGGTCAGGTCAGGTACCAGAGCAAAACCGCACAGATGACACCCTGACCACACTTACTCAAAGTGTGTTTATCTTCAAGGAAGGAAGTCACTCAGAATCAAAAACCTCACAAGAGCAAGAATTAAATTTGCTCGTCAGTATCTTTCAAACTCTGGAATTCAGGAATTACCTATACAAAGACGCCTGGGCTGCTTCACCTCACGACCGGAGAAGAAGAAGCAACCCAACTAAGATACTGTACAGCCTTCGCATATTTTCGACTCCCTATTATCAAGTCTTGCATCGAAGGGAATGTAGGTGACGTCATTCGGCTGTCCATCTTGGTCTGTATACTCCTGTTGGCCTTGGCTCACAACTCGCCTTGATCCTGCAAACTATGGCGACCTGTGTTTTTTATTTATTTCTTTTTTTGTGTCTACATTTAAATCTGCTGTCTGACCGGCCTGATTTTAATGCAAATAGAGATGCCCCGTACCCTGCAATTGGCTGCATGGTGTAAACTGCCTACTGCTTGAAGACAGCTGGGATAAGATCCAGCATGCCCGCGACCCTCGTGAGGATAAACCGATTAGAAAATGGATGGATGAATGAGGGATGCGCCACCATTGGCCTGGAAAAGTCTCGTTCCATATCAGAATACCCGGTTACATACAATTCTACCTGTGCAAAATCTAGCAAAATATCCATCCATCCATTTTCCGATCCACTTTATTCTCACAAGGGTCGCGGGGGATACTGGAGCCTATCCCAGCTGTCTTTGGGCAGTAGGCGAGCGACACCCTGAACTGGTTGCCAGCCAATCGCAGCACACAGAGACGAACAACCATCTGCGTTCACACTCAAACCTAGGGACAATTTAGAGTGTTCAATCAGCCTGCCATGCATGTTTTTGGAATGTGGGAGGAAACCGGAGCACCCAGAGAAAACCCATGCAGGCCCGGGGAGAAGATGCAAACTCCACACAGGAAGGCCGGAGCCGGGATCGACAGTGCGCGTCGACCTCTGCACTGTGAGGTCGACGCGCTAACCACTGGAACACCGGGCGCCTAGCAAAATACCAATACAAAAAAATTTCCACTCGTGCACAAAGTTAGACTGCTTTTTGTGGTAGACTTGCGCTTGGAACGAAAATAGAACCGCCCCTGAACATTGAATTTTTACAAATCTGTACTTCGTTACTTATTTCTGCCATCCTTCATTTTTTAGGTAAAAGTGAAGGTTGCGAGAAATACCACGCGCTATGAAAATGACCCTGAATTACAGTAATCAATAATCTGTCCTCCGTTAAATTACAAGAGTAGTTATGCCTTGGGCCGGCTTGGTTGACGGGCGTTGACTGTCAGTGTCTTCTCCGAATGCGAGGGAGCATTTACGGAGGGGGGGGGGGGGTTGTGTTGCTGCGCCAGTCTGAAGAAAAGCGATGCGTAAAGCAACTTGTTGGGCGCTTCTCCACACCTCACTTGAGAAGCAGACGGCGAACACTCTTACCCACAAATTAGAGGATTCAAAAAGGACAACTTAGATTTGCATAGTCAATATGATGAGATCTGGGTTTGTGTACTTGCCCGCAATTGCGTTCTGCTTGGCCACGAGCACAACAGAATCAGCGGGACTCAACAAAGTAAACAACAGCTCACCGGAGACGAGTGAGATGCTGTCTTTCGCGGAACTTGCAGCGAACACGTCAGAGAAGTTGGGCAACAGGACGTCGCCTTATTTACTGCTGGATTTTGACGAAGGGATGCTGGAGGACTGGCGCTCACTGGCTCGTGGCGACGGGAGGCGCGGCGGGGAGTCGGGCGTCAAGGCGCTGCTGGTCGCCGCCTACTCGGTCATTATTGTCATCTCCCTGTTCGGAAATACGATGGTGTGCCACGTGATCGTGAAAAACAAACGCACCCAGTCGGCCACCAGCGTGTTCATCATGAACCTTGCAGTGGCCGATGTGTTCATCACTGTGCTCAACACGCCTTTCACGCTGGTAAGTGCACCCTCGAGTGAAACGAAACGATTCAAATTGTGTCACATGTATGGTGACATTTTTTCCCAACCTATATTTATTGAGCCAAAGCACATATTTACATTTGAAAATTGCACAGCACAAAACCAAACCCAAAAAAGTACACCGGTATACTTGATGCGTTTCAAAAGACGTATTGTCCTTTGAAACTCTCTCTCTCTCTCTCTCTCTCTCTCTCTCTCTCTCTCTCTCTCTCTCTCTCTCTCTCTCTCTTTCTTTCTTCTGAAATTCTGTCAGCATTGTATTGCATAGCTGTGCCATTAAAAGTGCGTGACATAGCAAGTGACGTCCAAAGATTCAGCCACTCTCGTTAGATTGATGGCCTCTTCAAAAAACTAGAATCTCGTCACCTTTACACAATCTTTGCCTAACCGTTGTGAAAAATGTAATCGAGTCAAGGCAAAATGTCTGGCTCTATTTTGGTAGATAGGCGCATGAGTGCTTGGTGTAAAAAAAATGCGCATCTTCATCTTTGTGCCGAGCTAAATCGAGTTGACCGTGTTTGGGAATTTGGCACGCTGCTTTGCGCCTCGCTGGGTGTTCAGAGTGAGCGAGGGCATTTTTCATTACACCGCTAGCGCACTGGACAATTTGGTGACAGACAGTAGACTTGAATTTAGCCGTAGGTGGTGTAACGCAATTTTGGTGGATTTGCAGTCTAGGCGCAGACAGACATTCTGAGTTGTGTGGTGGATGTAATGTTATTGAAAAATGTTACTTATATGACAGCAGATGTCATCGTTTTTCAATGATAAATATGACAACAAGGCGTTAACGCCACTGATGTGAAACTCTGGGCCCAGTGGCCAGATCTGGCCCACGGCATCATTTTTGTGGCCTACGAAGGCAAATTTTGTCCGGTGTGTTCACTTCACAACACGAACAATATGAGATACTGCCAGATTTTTTTGTCACCAATCCCCCCTTTAAAATAAATGGAAACATAGTTGAACAAACAATTTACTGGCTTCTGATTTCAAAACTAGTTATCCACCAATTTGTGTTAGAAAAGTGATATCGGGTTCACAGTCATAACGGCCTTCCAAGGGAAACCGTGGCTACAGTGTGGCCCGCGACAAAAATGAATGTGACACCCTTGCTTTATGCGATCAAGATTTTGGGATCAATCACCGATCAGCAAGATAAAAAAAAAGACAATAACCGATCCTCGATCCGTCCGAAGATGGAGCAATATGTCAACTTGTACTCTTCAATCGACCCCGATATCTCTCTCCCCGTGCATGCGTGGGTTTTCTCTGGTTACTCCGGTTTCCTCCCTCATTTCAAAAACATGCACGGTCGGTTAACTGAACACTCTAAATTGTTCCTTGATGTGTTTGTGAGCGCGAATGGTTGTTCGTCTATGTGGTACCTGCCATTGCTTGGCTACCGGTTCAGGGTGGAACCCGCCTACTGCCCATAGACGGCTGGGATAGGCTCCAGTATGACCGCGAGCCTCCTGCGGATAAACGACTCGGATACACACCCAGATTCAGGCAAACGGGGTTCCATCTCATCTCCACATTCATTGATGCAAAATGAATTGAATTGAATGAATGACTTTCAAGAAGTACTTCAGTGTATCAATGTAAGTGTGTCTCTCACAGGTTCGTTTTGTAAACAGCACATGGGTGTTTGGAAGGACCATGTGTCACATCAGTCGCTTTGTACAGTACTGCTCCCTGCACGTGTCAACTCTCACGCTCACGGCTATCGCCCTGGACCGCCGACAGGTTAGTGTGCATGTGCTGAACCTGGCCGACTCATTTGCTTGAAAGTGTGCCTTGGCATTTCCCAATGCTGCTCAGTATTCTTTTAAGTTTCTTTCAGGGAACTCAACACGAATGCATATTGTATGACTGTTACTTTTTGCTGTTGTTTAGTTGTTGTTGAAATCATGCTAATTTATATTGAGAAGAGACTCAAACAGGTTTTAATCTGTGTGTGAAGTGGGAATTTCTCCATTGTGAGACTATTAAAGGTTTTCTTATCTTATCTTAATCATTGCTCGGAATTTTGTGCAGCTCTCCTCACATACAATGTTTGGTTTTATCTCAGCAATTATGATTTTAACTGACGATTGGTGAGAATGTTAATTAAAAAAATGTATTTCACTTAAAAATTATTTTATCTATCCAATATTACCCCCCCCCCTATCGTGAGTTTAATCATCTTTTGTAATTTGCCTTTAATTGAAAATTTTATTTTGAATTCCTGCTATTCCTCAAATGAGGTCAAAGATAGCAGATCCAAATTAAAGTGTTTAATTGTGGATAAAATTACATTTTTGATTGCAACTGGCCACAGCACCTTTCAAACCCAGCAAGCCTTCATCTAAACCTATTTTATATGCCAGTATCTGTATCTCAATTAGTTGCTGCAAATGTTCCTGGCTCTGCCAACAAGATCATGTACTGAGATGTTTTTCAATTACATTTGAGATATTTTTGTACAGTTTAATAACATACAGAGGTGAAACTTATTTGGCACCGATTATTCTTATCGTCGTTATTCCTCTATGGGAGCCTTTTAAAACCCGGAGAAATTGGAGGTCGGCACAAACGGATCATTTTGATTTATAGGTGTCCAACTGTGTACGCATTTGTTGTGTCATTTTCTAACATCGGACTATTGTGTGAGGGAGACTGAGACTAGTGGAGAGAACTGAGCAAAAACAGTCCAGATTCTCTTGTCCATCCATCCACTTTCTGATCCGCTTATCCCGCCTACTGCCCAACCCAGCTGTCTTCGGGCAGTTGGCGGGGGACACCCTGGATTGGTTACCAGCCAATCGCAGGGCACACATACACAAACAACCATCCACGCTCACACATACACCTAGGGGCAGTTTTGAGTGTTCCATTAACCCGACGCACATGTTTTTGGAATGTGGGAAGAAACCAGAGTCTCCACTTGCTCTTGATCCTGCGTCAGCAGGAGGTAAATGAGGAAACATTGTAAAGCGCTTCAAGTCCCAAAGGTAGAAAAGCGCGATAGAAGTGACAGACCATTTAATTAATTTCCAACTGTCTTTTGTCATTATGCATGTCTTGTAATTGATTTGCAACTGTCTTTTGTTTTCATGTCATTGTGTGCGTCTTGGCTTCACAGCTTTCAGTCATTTGTGGGTTATTTATTTATTTTTGGTCCAATCACATTTCAGCTTTATTGTGTGGCATGAAAATATTGTACCTGTTGACCTTGCACACACACAGACACACTGCACTTTTCAAATTAACACTGACACAGGGGTGCAGTTGTATCCTAGCTGAGTGCAAATTGTCGTAACTCTCTCATGCATACTTAGTCAAAGTCTAGTTGAGGCTTTTTTTTTTTGTGATTTGGTGACTTGTGTCTTGCTATCGAGACAGCCATTCCAATGTTGGTCTTTCGTCTGATCTTCACCAATTTTGTGGTTTATTTTCTGAATCTCAAGTGAGATTTGGGCCCATTGGGGAAGAATTTTACCACACATAAAATCTGATAAGTGGCTTCTCAAATTTGACTAACAGAGAAAGGCAGCAGGGAGCATACAGGTAGCTGAGATTTGGCACTCCAACGCCAAGTCCGGACCTCGTGAGCCCCTATCCAGCCTGTTTTAAATGAAGCTCTGTTTCAACACAACCGATTCAAATAATCAGCATTGTTATCAAGCTTGTTCAAAGTTTACTGATGAACTGATCATTTAAATCGTGTGTTGGAACAGGATTACATACAAAACAGGCTGGATTAGGGAGGACCGGATTTGGAGCAGTAAGTGGCACTGGTAGATATTCCTGATAACTATGCATCTGTGTAAGACACATATACATGAAGAAAACTATTTTATGTTAAGCATTTTATGGTCTGATCTGTATGACCTCCCCCTCCATCACCGCAGGTAATTTTACATCCTCTAAGACCTCGCATGTCACCAATTCAGGGCAGTGTTTGGGTGGCTGTCATCTGGATAATGGCCAGCTGTTTCTCCCTTCCACATGCCATCTACCAGAAACTTTTCACTTTCAGGTTCAGGTAACGAGACACACACACACACACACAAACATGCACACAAAGCCAAATGGACCTAAATGCTTCGTCTATGATTCATCTTTATTACACAGATACAAGAATAGTCACATGACATTTTAGTCACAATGGTGATTGAGCAATTACCTACTCCAATCATATTGTAATAACGATGGAAATATCAGTTTATGACCTGACTGTGTCATGATCATGATGCATCAGAAGGGGAAAAGATTTCGTGGTGTTTTAATGTGAAGAAAAAAAACAAGCGCAGTACCGATTTCCACTCTCTTACCTTCTGATATACTTTTTAAGACTGCCAATATGTTTTCAAGACAGCATTACACAACGGAGTGTGCAATACACTGTACAGTGAACATGCCCTGTACTTGCTTGATCTCCTTTCTCCTTACCAGTCAGGAAAAGGAGCGCAGCCTGTGCGTCCCGGACTTCCCCGAGCCATCGGATGTCTATTGGAAGTATATTGACCTCCTCACCTTCATACTCCTTTATATGCTGCCCCTTGTCATCATCACAGCGTCCTACACCACAGTGGCCCACAGGCTGTGGCACCACAATGCCATTGGCGACGCCACAACGGCTCAGCACGCCACCCATAGGAGGAAGCGGCGCCGCACGCTCGCCATGTTGCTCGTAGTAGTGGCCGTGTTCGCTGTCTGCTGGTTCCCGCTCAACTGTTACGTGGTGCTCCTGTCCAGTCAGGCCATTCACTCGTCCAACGTTCTTTACTTCTGCTTTCACTGGCTGGCCATGAGCTCCACCTGCTACAACCCATTCATTTACTGCTGTCTTAACCCCACCTTCCGCCAGGAGTTACGCCTTCTCCTGAGTATGTGCAGAAGGAGTCACAGCGTGGTGGTGGAACTGGAGCTGGAGCGTCAGCCTGCCGCTGCATGCCCGCCATGCCACAGGACCGCCTGGCCTGACGACGAGTTGTCTGGGCAGAGGCAAGCTTTGCCACAGCCCAGCCACCCCTCGCTGCAGAAGAACCACAATTTATCAGAGGACTCGCCTCATCTCAAGGACACACACTCACTCTTCACTGCCAGACGGGCCCTCACAGGGAGAACTGACATCCTGTCTGTCGAGCCCATTGTGGCTGTGAGCTGACTAAACGTGTCGTGTCATGGGGACATTTTGGATCACTTCTTCAGTTCATTGTGTTCCAAAGATGATACAAGAACCCCCTCACCCATTACATTTCTATCATTCATCATTAATTTTGTTCTCTGGAAAAAGCGGCATCAGGCCAGGTGATGCTTTTTTTGTGAAAGTTTTAAAATGCGAACAAAAACACTTGCTGAAAATGCAATTACTGTATATTATTGAATTTGATATTTTCTTGTGAAGAAACCGTTTTTGCACATGGAACTCAGGAACCTGGCAGGGCTCACAAAGCCTTTGGTAAACTACTGTGAGCTACTTAACAACATACATACACCAATCAACAATATGATGACCCTAATCTATTTTTATTTATTATCAAATATGCTGCCCTTACAAACGTTTGAGTGACACTGTGAGAGAGGATTTCCTCCAATATGTTCAGTATTGTGGTAGTAGTTTGTCATATTGATGCTCTCATTTAACGATTCAGGTAAGCAACATATTTGCGACAGCTCACATGATGATGTACAGTTCTACACTACTATCTATTCATCCATTTTCTTTTGCGTTCTCCTTATCAGGCTCAAAACGTCTCACAGCACATCATTTCAAAAAATGTCAAAGTGGACATGCAGGTTAATGATGTACCTTCTGACATCCAGTGGAAGTGCATTTAATTGTACTTCCTGTCACAATAATTCACTGCCTCAGAGAGGGAAACAAGAATACCGGTACATTATTTTTACAGAAATAATCATTTTGGGACCAATAAAGTGTAATTGCATAATTACACAAGGTGGTCTCTCTCCAAATACTAATGCCACAATAATTAGAAATCGGTGACAAGGAACTAACAACGATTCACACTCAGTCACACTTATGCGCAGTTGAGTGTCTTTATGAACCGAGCATGCATGTTTTTAGAGGATATGCCCCTCCCCCCCCCAAAAAACCCACACAAACACAGAGAGAACATGTAAATTCCAAATCTCATCATTTTTTTTATCATACTTGTTGTCTTGGCTTCCCTGGACAAGACAAAAGCCCTCAGCCATGTTTCGAACCCAGACCTTCAGAACTGTGATGCAGATGTGCCAATTCAGTAGCACACCATTTATTTGAAACTTTCTGAAAATTTACCACCCCTTTGCAATGCTTATTTGTAAATAAAGAAAACAACAATTGCAGAATGTTTTCACCTTTTACATGTCTTTGCTCTCCATTGTCAAATGAAAATGTTGCATTGGATTCCAATGACGTTAAATGTACTATTATGTTGTTCTGAGCTTCATGTGTTACTTATGTAAAATGTCTGTATGTTTATCTGTAGATATGCAATTGCAGTAAACCTTGTGATGTTGGTGTGAAACCCAGACTTATTTTTCAATCAAGTCTCTCCACACATGTGTGATTATATGTTGCATGTTACTAGAGTGACAGTCCTTGTATGCGGGGGATGACCAATAAACACTAATCATGAGACATGTATGCTGTATGTATAAAAGCATCCCAATTTAGGTGAAAAACAACTGACAAATGACGCACATGTATGCCTGTTATGAGAAACATTCAGTCATTTTTTTTTTTTGCGAAACGCATCAACAATTTGTGAGATGACTCAGAATGTCACCACAATTAGCAAAGGTTGTTACGGAAAAAGAGCATTGCCTGCCAACTGCTGATGATATGCCTCTATCACAAGAGCCCCCCTCCCTCCCCAAAAAACAAACAAAAACAAAAACATGCCTTCAAAAGCTCATTTTCAACGTCACGTGCAGTACATACTTTGAATGTGTATTCTTCATATGGTTATTTATGTCACAGTTACTTTAAATATTTGCTCCAAAAAGGCATTTCTGATCAGGTTTTTACATTTTATTGTACTAGACTAAAAGTTTATCATATGGGCTATAATGATGCTAAATCATACTGCCGTTGCAATTAAATAATTAGGTTACTTTATTATTTCATTTGTACTTATCATTTTAAGATATTTTGGGGGAGGCGGGTGCAGCTAGTCATTCTATTTAATTAATTTAACATTGTAAACTAATTTGTTTAATATGTGACTGTGTGTTTACTTAATGGAAATAAACTATTTGAAATAAAGTAAAATAAACTAAAAACATTTTTATAATGTGCCTTGGCTCAAAAAGGTATGGGAGACACTGCCATAGATGCCACTTGTCACTTCATTCATTATTGCATTTCTCTCTTCACAGTCACGCCATTGGTCAATTTATTGACCAATGGCGTGACTTAAAAGTTTAATAAATAATAAGGGCGATACGCTTCATCTTCCTTTTGCGCATGCGCACTTCTTTACTCACAGGAAGGACCCTCACGTCCCACAGAGGATATTAAATCTACTTAAAAAGGTACTCAAAGTACTTAACGTTATGTTATTCTGCGCTCCTCACAATCAAAATACATGGAGCTGACAACTAAATGCTGCAGCTGATGTGCCTTTATTTGTAGAACCGCGCCAGCGCTGCTTTTCTAGGTCCCTCTCACATTGTTTTGCTAACCGGCGAGAGCTAGCTACATTTAGCATTGTACCTTCCTGTTAAGCTAACGTCAGCTATTGTTTCATTCAAGATGGTCTCGAGTTAAGTCCGGTTTGCCTTAAGCGGTTACCGTCGCACATAAATCGCCTCTAAAGTACTTTTCAAAATGAAAACCAAACAACTCAACAGCTTTAACGTTACGTTTATGTGATTTGATTGTCACGAGAACCTTTTCTGACTTGGCTTGTTTTCGTCTTGAGACGCCGACAAACACTTAGCGGCCATTTCTTTAGGTACACCGGCACCATCTAATGATCACCATAACAGCCATTTAAAATGAATGTGTTGAGTAAATTTAGTTGTGATATGGTCATATATATTTTAATGCACGTATAGTATTGTAGTGTCATGATGACCTAAAATGTTCTAAACACCCCAATACTGACACTATTTTGAACATCGATACCCCTCTCACAGTATCAAAAGTGTGTTGCGGCTTGCGTTAGCTTGCCAACGGGTACCAAACGTTTTGGCCTGTGGGTGCACAGACAGATATTTACACACATATGAATGAACAGCGTCCTTTTTATTTTCACTTTCTGAAAAGTGGCACTTATTTGCGGATATCCTTGATACATGGTTCTATACGAGTGTGCTCTTTGCACTCCTCGTAATATGATTCAGCGCACGAGTAGAATGACTTGGGGGCACCAGTAAAACAAATTTGGGTTACGAGTCGGGCTGCCAGGATTAGTCGACTGGTCACGACTGTGTCGACGACCAAATCCATTGATGGCTAAATTAGTAGTCGATGTCGTTAATTCATTCATTCATCTTCCGAACCGCTTTATCCTCACTAGGGTCGCGGGGGGTGCTGGAGCCTATCCCAGCTGTCTTCGGGCAGTTGGCGGGGGACATCCTGAATCGGTTGCCAGCCAATCGCAGGGCACACAGAGACGAACAACCATGCACGCCCACACTCACACCTAGGGACAATTTAGAGTGTTCAATCAGCCTGCCATGCATGTTTTTGGAATGTGGGAGGAAACCGGAGTACCCGGAGAAAACCCACGCAGGCTCAGGGAGAACATGCAAACTCCACACAGGGAGACCGGAGCTGGAATGGAACCCGGTACCTCTGCACTGTGAAGTCGACGTGCTAACCACTGGACTACCGGGCCGCCGGATGTCGCTAATATTTTATTTATTTTTTCTTATTATTTTACGCTTTGTTTGGCCTGTGACGCGCATGCGCAGTAGTCATAATTCGGGTCTAACTGGTGTTAGCAACAGAGTCTGAAAGGTAAAGGGCATTTCACCAAAAAGTACTTAATGCAATGCAAACCGGATGTGCATGGCAGCACAGCTGTGAAAGGAAAAAAAAAACACTTTGTCTGATGCCAAAGTTAGGGCTGGGTGATCTGTCTGAAAAGTACCGTATATCACAATAAAAGTATTTCACATTGGTTGATTTATTATCATCATCATTAGTGTTTTTGTTATTATTCAAAATAAGGACCCAGAACAGGAAAAAAGATAAATGTAGGTAATTTTATTTCTACAAAATATTTAACACAATTATGAAAAAGTAAGATAAAGTGGTCAAGATTAAATAAACACCTTTTTAAACAAAATGTGCTTAGTAGAGCTGTGCAAGAACCATTTTTGTGAACTTTGTCTACCGAACCATCTATGAAAAAGTGTGGCTGAACCTTCTTTACAATAAATGACCAATCACCTCTGTGCAACCATTGCAATAAGATTATTTTGTGCATGCAATAACATTATATTGTGCAGACAAACACGATAACACTTTTTTTTATGGATATGTGGTGTAGAAGTGAAAGACTTGCTCGCTCTGATATTAATCAGTTAATTTGATAATGCTTTGTGGTGTTCAGCTCTTAGGAGCTCATCTCCCGGAGTAAAGCTGTATAAGCACTGGCCCGACCGGACCGAAGGAAGTGGCGCGTCGTACGGGGAGCTGCCAGTGGACATCGTCATGAGTTATAAGCCCATTGCTCCTGCGCCGTCTGGCTCCAACCACACGCCGCCTGGTTTGTTTTAACACCAACCTTATCCCTAATGCTGTTTTGGCTACGATAATTGACGACCTGCCAAGAATCAGATTGCATACCTCATATGCATTCACATTTTAAAATAATATAGTTTTACAGCAACAGTGATTCTCAAAATAAAGTGGGATATGCACATCCTGATTAACTTTTTCTATTTTTTAAAAAAAATATTATAATTATGACATATTTTTTAACATCACGTATACCGCACATGACGAGGAAAAAACTCGACGTCTCCTTACCGGCTCCTCTTTTTTCACGGGGGATGCCGTCAAGTAGAGTTTGACTTTTTTTGGGGGGGTTAACCCCTCCATGAAGCCATTATGAATCCCCCCCCCCCCCACACACACAGATGGTTCGTCAGCCTTCAAAACACTTGTTACACTTAATAAATCAACTTTTAAAATGCAAAATTAAGAATAAATCCATGTTGTGGAAACCATAAGCTCGTTGACATGACTATGCACTTCCAGCAAAAGTTGTTCATGGTCTCCCAATAGAAAAGGAATGAGAACAGTAGTCATGGTCACAAATGGAAACCCCATGATAGACTGAAGCCGCAATAACTGAACCGCCAAGTAGTGAAGGAACACTGTTGAGGACAATTTGATTTGGCCTTTGCTGACTTTGATCAGTGAAAGGTGGAAACTGTTGATGTTTGGTCTGCTTGTTAACAGTATGTGCCCCGCTTAAAGTAAACACAACCTGTTCGGTGACTTCAACATTGTTATGTTCATTTTGTTCCCATGCTTGGAAGGTCAAGTTAATTTATTTCCATCTCCATCTTGCACCATCATAAACCCTCTCATTAACAGTACAGGGAGGGTTAGCGGAACATGGTACTTTGTGATTGATGTGCTTAACTTTAAAAAATAAACATCATGTAAATCACTCTAATAAAAAATATTAATTATAACAAAACACCATGTAAATTAATCCAATACAAAATACACCTGACATAAGTCACTCTTATGCAGCATTCTGGTGTCAAAGGATTTTACTAATCTGGTACAAACCAGCCACCCTGATGTCACTGCTCACATAGAAGCCACATGATTTGGTCTGCATGAAAAAGAAATATAAGTCAGAAATTCTTAAGACAACTGTAAATGATAGCCATGAAGATATTTGTCTTCCCACTGCATGACTTTGTGGCCCTCTCTGTACAGGCTGTCCGTATTGCTTGCTTGGAGACAAGTTCAGTATAGACCTGCTGATGCGACCGAAACACACCGTGAAGGGACACATTTTTCATTGAGGGCATATGTAACATTATTCGCGGGAAGAGCAGCGTGGCCAGTAGGGTAGTTCATGGCATTGAGCGTTGTCTTTTTTTTTTTTTTATCCTGAATTTATGTACAATTTTAAAGGTCAAGTGTGAAGTAATTTTAGAAACTCCCAAGTGAACTATTTTCATGTCACAAGTAGTTAAGATAAGAAAGATAAGAAAACCTTTATTTGTCCCACAATGGAGACATTTGCATTACAACATGATGCATTACATAAAGGATGAAAAAAATAATTTACTATTCAATGAAATTCATTCGCTTTGTGAGAATGACTGTATCGTTCCAATTTTCTGGTCCATTTGCTGAACAAAAGCATTTTCATTGTTAAGCGTGTTGCTATGGGTCTAATTGTGAACTTGGGTGAGTTGCTTAAAAAAACAAAACACACTAACAAAAGTGTGCTTGGAATAGTTTCAGTTCTAGGTATTACTCAAAAGATGGTTGCCCAAGTTTACATCAGACTTGACCTTAAAAGGCTTTTGAAGTGCTCACTCCATGTCTCGTTTGTTTGTTTGTTTGGAGAAAATAGTACAAAGATGGCGGCCACTTGTCACACTCGGAGTTATTGTACCTTAGTTGACACGGTTTTCTGCATCTGCGTCATGTGCAGAATGTCTGTATCGATAAAGCTGTTCCTGGGGGCTAAGGCATACGTTACAGAATGATCAGTACATTGCCCATCAAATTACGGTATCACGAAGCGTCATTCAAATGGCCAGCTACCAAAACATTTACTTTAGGGATGCCCAACCTTTTTTGACCGAAGATCGACTTGTCAAGCAACCGACGATCAACCCGCTACCGCACGTGCACGCACATACACACGATGAGCAACAGCCATAGCGGCCAGGAACACGGACGAAAAATAAGAATAAAGAAGATACAAGAGCTTGTGAGTTTGTAAAAAGGAATCACTGCCTACCTTAGCCGAGAACTGACCCGGCGGCATGGGACGCACTTGGGCAGCGTCTTCACTGCAACGACGTCACTATCGTAGCTCACGTGTATCGTTTTAAAACTTTTCACTTGGCACATCAGATCAGATTCCCATTCTTTGCCAGTGCCATCGATGAAATGTACACGAAACAAACTTTGAATGAGAATAATAAAAACTAAAATAGATAGATGGCAACAGCTCTAATCGCAAACTGCAAGTGCAGACGGCTTACCGCTAACAACTTCCGGTGATGCAGGTCACCCGCCGCCGTAGGTTAAAGGTGACTTGGTTTGTTATATTTTATTTTTTAAATACTTTTTTGTGAAAGTGAAACCGAGAGGACGCTTAGGGTGCCGTGTGCACTAACACAAAAATATAGAATATGAACAACACGCACACATCTTTTTTTTTTTAATATCCCCCCCCCCCCCCCCCCCCCCCCCCCCCCGCCCTCCACGATCGACTTGGGACCAGTTCGCGGGCTACCAGTCGCTCACACCCCTGATCTACTTGGTTGCTGAATTTCACACACGATTGGTGGACAGGCACAACTGGTACCAAGTGGGCATTTTTGTGTTTCTCTGACTTTGCTGTGTATTTTCAGGCTCCTCCGTGCCCTCTCCTTCGCTCCCGTCATCGTCCAACTTCCGGCCAGCCTTCAGCGACTTTGGCCCGCCCTCCATGGGCTTCGTTCAGGTGTGCTAGCATCTGCGGTGATCCACAACGGTTGAATGTGGCAGAGCTGAGCTTCTTTGTTCGAGATATTCACACTTTTTGCCACAAAGAGAACAACCTGAAGTTACACTTTTGTGAGTTCCTACATGCTGGCTGGCATTTTGCACAGTTAGTGCTGCCAATTCGGGAACTTTGTGAGTTACAAGGCGCCACTTGGGTCTTTTGTTTTTCTTCATTTTTTTCTCTTCTTCCAGTTTTTGTGTTGTGATCTAAACGAGCAGCTTCAGATATGCTGCCACCCAACCTAAGTGGGGGAAAAAAAGAAATGAAGCAGTTTTGGTCCTATCATGCCCTTGCATGTGGGCAAGGAGAGCCACAGTTGGCAATGCACGTGATCAAACACACAAGTACTAAATAAAAACACTTGCAAAGAGCTGCATTAGACCACATCTCATAACCGGACACTCACACTCAGAAAGCTCCTAATGCCACACACTAGGCCACACCCCTTGAAGGCAACATCCAACACACACACGAAAAAAGTTTATTTCTCGGTTGACTGTTTTACACAAGACAACTATTTTTATTCATTAAACATGTAAAAATTTTGTTTTGGGAGGTACAGAATAGAAAAACGTCATTTTATTCTCATCTCAAAAGAATATGAGTAATGAGTTACTGATATGTGCTTGGTCACAAACTCTCAAGTCAAGATTCCACTGTATGTGCTACATGTCATGTATAAAGTCAACCAAAGGACCACGGTATGTTATTGATGTTTTGATGCATCTCTTTGTTTCTCTGAAAAATCCTGCTCAGCCCGTAAAAGTCAGTCAAGGGTCGACCTACAGCGAACTTCTGTCAGTCATTGAGGAAATGAGTCGTGAGATCCGGCCCACATACGCTGGAAGCAAAAGTGCGATGGAGAGACTAAAGAGAGGTATTAAACAACACTCAAACACCAGCACACCCGACATTTTGTCCAAGTAGCAAGATATTCCCATTATTAACAATTTAATTTATGCAGATTTAAGATTGGTGATGGGTGCTACATGATGACACCCAGATCAAGACGTAATTGTTGGAGTTGAATTCAAGTCACGTATTTTTAGTACTTATGATGTTACAGCTATTAAGCGCCAAAACTAATTCGGCGTAATTGCTTTGGCCAAATGCATGTTCACCGGTAATAAATGTCTTGGATGAGTTTGACTTCCATATGAGGGTAGATTCAGGCAGATTTAAAAAATTTTTTTTTTTAATTCCATTATTCCATATTCAAATGTCTTATCTGTTCCAGGTATCATTCATGCACGTGCACTGGTCAGGGAGTGTCTGGCAGAGACGGAAAGAAGCGCCCGTACATAACCCTTCCTCCCCGTCCCCTCCTCCTTATCCATCATCCGTTGTTAGTTTTTATTTTCTGGGTGTTTTTTTTTTTTTTTTAATTACATTGGCCTTGTCATTCTACCAGGCCATTCTCTTGAAACTACTAGTTCCGTTTTCTTTTTTTTTTTTTTCAGACGGCCTGTGGATATTTTAAGTAGAGCCGTGCGTAAAAAGTAGATTAAACCATTTTATATTTGTTGACAGCCAGACAGACCAAATTATGTCTCCTTTAAGTTAAAACCAAAACTTGTTCTCAAGTTGTGAAGTTTTTTTCCTTACCTTTATTCATTTGCGCATCATGAATCGAGACCATTTGCTTTCCTGCTCACCTGCATTGGTCCTATTTTCTAGTCAACGTTCAACAAGAACTATGTACTGTACCTCTCAAGTCAATTTGTTATTGTGGGAATTTTGTAAACCAAACTTTTGCAGTTCAGTATGTATATCTGAATTAAAATGATATAAAAGAAATCGCTACCTGTACTGTTTTTTTCTCCCCCTCACTGGACAAAGATTAATTTTGTTGTATTGAAGTAACATAATTGGACCACACGGGAATCCGTATTAAAAATGCCAATGCACGAATAAACGCATTTATTTGGATTACACAATTGCTGCTTCAGTGACATGAAATGATGAGGGTGAGACTCATCCACATAGTTGTTTCCACAATTTGGGTCTACAAAGAGTGACAGACAGAAAGTGATGAAAACCAAAATATTTTTTCCCCACATATGAAATAAGAATACAGAAGAAAGCAACATCCAAGTGTGTCGTTTTGATTGTCAACGTCTCCATCTGCCGGCTATATTGATCCGGAGAAACCAGTCTGTTAATCCTGAGACCAATGAGGTCCAGAGGGACAAAAGGAGAGCTGTATGAGTAATATTCTCAATTTAGATGTGATTACAAGTGGATTTTTACACTGAATAAAAGAAAAGTAAGAGATTGCAGCAGAGCAGTTTGTGTGGCACTTAAAAACCGGCGTCTGTATGAGGGAACCGACGGATACATAAAACAGATTAAATGACGACACTTGAGGCTTTGAGTTGCTATTGGCAACAAAACAATCAAAGGGAGAAACACAAATCTGACTTTGGGAACATTATGTATCTCACAGAGTACAGAGTTTTGTCTTGTGAGTGTGGCTCAAACTGAAACACCAGCATCTGGTGTTTCTATGCTTTCGCCTTGAAATCTACAGGTATCTTCTCATTGTACTCCTCAACCCTGATAAGAGAAAAGAGCAAAAGAATAACTGTAGAGAACACTACTGAAACGGAAGGACAATTGGTCCATGTGAACTCACCGTGGTCGCAGTTGGCGGCGGTGAGTTGTAATTGAACAGGCCTTTGTAGCGTCCCTTCTCCTCCTTCTCCTTGGTCCGGATGCGATCCTGCATGGCCCGCAGCTCCTTGGTGACGGACGGCCCGAGAGACGGGTCCAGCTCCAGCACCTTGGCGAAGTCCGCACGGGCCTCCGTCTCGTTCCACACTGCGGCATGGGCCTTTGCTCGCTTGTAGAAAGCCTTAACGTTGTCTGGCACACAAGGACAAGCATGTCACATCGACGAAGGACAAACAAGCCGACAGCAAATTTAAAGATCTTGACAACTTACAAAAATAAAACAAATTTTTACATTGAAAACAAACTACTGTTCAAAGTTTGGCGTCACTTTAAAAATACCCTTATTTTATTTTACACATTAATAATATCCACTTAAGCTACACATCCTAGCCAATTGGCTTGCGTACTTTTACATGTCTTACCACCGTGGTAGGAAGAAAAAAAACGTTTCTTGTCTTGGCTATCTGTTTGTTTCTTCCTTGCGTTTGTATTTTCAATGTATCCAAGAAATATAAATACATTGATGTCGTTTGTATAGGTAAGTTTTCATGGGTTTCATGTGTAATATGTGCAAGCTACTTGTGCATATGTGCGAAAGCACTTCCTTTTTATATGCGGGTATCATGACACCGCATCCTTGGGAACCCACAATGTATTTTTTTTTTTTACTGCGCACAGAGCCATTAAAGATGGCAAAGGCCGATATTTAGGCTTTGTTCGTGTTTACATGTATCATGTCATTTGTATATATAAATGAGATACATGTACTCAACATTTGTCCAAAGATAGCAGCCATAAAGATTTTTGTGCTGAAATTGGATGCTTAGGAAGTTTCATTCCGTTTGCATGAACATGGCAAAAATGACTCAAAAGAAGCAAGGTGGCCACTGTGCTCCAATTCCACGCTAATCAGAATGATTATCATCTACCATGAAGCGCAGACTCGAGGAGAATCATGAGGTGAGCCTTACCCTCGTATTTGAACGTGAGTGATGAGCAGTGTTCGATGACTTCGTAGTAGTGGCCTTGGAGTAGCTTGCACTGGCAGTAGTTGAGGAGAAGAGGCGTGATCATGTGGTCCAGCTTGATCCACGCTTCATCTCCTGGATGCTCCTGAAATGAAAAGATGAAGAGGTGTCAGATATACTGGCAAGGTGTTGAGAAGGAACGGGCATGGGCCAGATTTCATTGACCTTCATCTGTAGATTTTTGAGACAGGCGATGCCGTTGTAGTATTTGTCGGTGGCCTCTTGTATTCGGCCTTGCTTGAAGAGCATGTTGCCCTCCTCGTGGATGTGAGGCACGAAGGCCAGCTTCTCCTCGTCCGTCATGGCCCACACGTCCAGCTGGAACGAGCCCGGAGGAAGAACCTGCAAGCACACTGGAGCTCAGCGGCAGCTTTCACAGTCGCTGCATACAACGCTATTACTGGATACTACAGCAATAGCTGTACCGAAGAAATACAATTCTAGGTGAACTTAGGTGAACCTTATAAAACAGATAACATTCTTTCTTGCTCCCAAAAGGAAAAATTCAAGGGTTAGACAGTAATAACAACAACATTAATAATAATTAAAAACAAATATGATTGAATCGCTTAGAAAATACCATCAAAAGGTCAATTTAAATCTCAAAAAGCAATCACACCGATCCTTTGTTATATTCTCATTTTTTGAGATGGTGAAATTTGGGTTTTTGCGAGCTGCGAACTTGAATAATCAAAATGATTATGCTGTGGTGTAACTACCCCCTCAAAGCCAAAATGTGTCCCATTTCACGCACCTCCATCAGCTCAATGGCGAAGACAAGAGGCTGTGGATTAGCCTGAAGGTGGTCCAGGTCTTTGTGGCCCAGCGAGTGGTGGGAGTGGATCTGGGCAATGCCACAGCAATGTCTCTGGCCTTCCAGGGGGTCTTTCCCAATGCTGATGTTCCTCAGCGACTGGGACACCAGCGGGTAGAGTGCGGTGTGCTGTGAACAAAAACAGACCATCTCAGATATGCCAGTGTACAAAAACACCTCGGACATCCTATTTAACGAGCTCACTCACTTTGGCGTCACATGTGAACTCGGCAATTTCTCCTTCTCTCATAGAGATGATCACTCGTTCCCATACAGCCAGTTTAAACTTCTTGCCCAAGATCAGCTCCATTGGTTTACTGCAGCCCCCTGTGTTCCTGGAGTCATCCAGCACTGTGCCATCACACAGGCTGGTGCGGTAGTGGAAGACCACCTGGAAGAACCGGCAGTAGGTTAATTATGCCAAAATGAAAATATGCTTGAGACACAGCCTTACAAAACATCCTCTTTATTTTAAGTGTGTGTGTGTGTGTGTGTGTGTATATATATATATATATATATAAATTTTTTTAAATGCACAGGCCATGGTGTCATTCTGCTAGTTAACTCAAATTATACAAATCCATCAAACACAAGAAAATAGTTTTCAGAAGCCCGATTCCTACTCGTCACCTCAAAATCATTTTAATTAATTCTAACATCTAAATTTCATATACAGTACAACAATGTTTTTACGTAAACATCACAATTAAAGAATATATTTGAAATGAAAAATTTCACTCTGTCTATACTCTATATTATTCACGTGTTTCACATTTTGAAATGAACAACGGGAGATACAACATTGTCCACTTTATTCTAATTGATTGCATTCCAGATTCGACAGTGTTTATATTTAAAACGCAAAATGTCTTGAGAATGGCGACATTCCGTCTACGGTTTATTTTGGCCAATCACAACCTTGGAATATTGATTGCCACAGTAAGCCAACCAATCAGCATTGATAAACAACCCATCCTGTTCCGCCCATATCCGTCCATCTGATGAGTGAAAAAAAAACATTGAAAAGAGGGGAGAAAGGAATGCCTACTGGCCAAAACGTTTTAAAATCAGGAAGCGATTAACAACCACGTTCTTCCATGTGCGTCGGTGGTGGCTCTTGATACAAGAAATGTCTTTAGGTAGCGTGTAACAAACAAAATGTGTTAGCCAATATAGTACAACACATACGAAAAATTAGCATTAGCAAACGCGATAGAGCGCGTTTGCTAACATTTACAGACACAAATTAGAGGCAGTGACCCACAATTTAGATTAATTTTTACCTTTGTTCCATCGGGGAAGGGCGATAGCTGTCCTTTACCCGGGCTAATCAATTTCTTACTGATCCCTTCCGCGAGAAGCCTTCTTGCCTCTTCCTCCATCCTTGGCAGAGTCGTCACTGACGACCAAGTACGATGTTTACCGAAGAAAGCCGATTCTAGTTTTGTCACGTTTTGGTCGAGCACCGCCATCTCTCGGTAGGCGGTATTGCAGGCTATCATATTGACGCAGGAATTATGCTGTTAGTGCGTTGAGTTGAGCCACATATCAGTTTGGTCTTATTGAAATATTCAAAACAAGTTCTGCATGTCAGAAATTGGGAGGGCACCCCCGTACCTGGATAAAATCTTCACAAACACAGGGAGAACTTGCGAACCCTATTTTGCAAAGCACAAGATTTGAAACCAAACCTCAGAAGTTGAAGGTTGTTGTGTGAACTGCTTCTCTGAGCTGTCCTGCGCTATAAGTCAGGCTGGGTAGAGCTAAACTTTAGAAATGTTTTTTATTGTAATTTCACAGTCAGTGTTCACATAGCATAAAAATACTCTACAATGTCCATGGAAGTACACAGGCCAGTTCATATAGTGGGAAAAAGCCAAGAAAGTGAATAGTCGAAATGTCAGTGGTCATCAGAAAAACAAGAAAAACTATACGATGCATCAGTACGTTGCCATGGTAACAGAACAAAAGTAAAAGTGGTTCATGTGGTGTTTGGTGGAATCTTATTTTTCAAAATAGGGCAGGTAGAACAACTTGAAGCCTCTTCTTCCACGGACAGCACAGCTGATGTATATCACATGATACACTGGAGAGAGTTCATAGAATAGCAATATTATTCACATAACTCTTTCTGGAATGTCAAAGAAAGTTCTGAGTGGGACTCCTGCAAAAAAGGATTTCTTTACCTCCAGGGATGAAGAGCAGGAATCCAGGCACAAAGAAGATAGCACTTGAAACGCCTGTGACCAAATGCAGAAAACAGTCTGCCGTCATTTTAAATTAC